AGGAGGAGGAGGAGGAGGAGGAGGAGAAGGAGGAGGAGGAGAAGGAGGAGGAGGAGGGAGAGGAGGTTGGAGGTGGAGGCTGTGAACTGATGAGGGGCGGCGCACTGGGTCCAGATCCAACTGCGCAGACTACGGAAGTGGCTGCAAGCGCAAGGGGGCGGACAGGCCTCCGAGCCCGCGTCGAGCCTGCTTCAGCGCATGGGCATCACCATCGGGTGCGAAGGGCACAGGCTTGGCGTCGCTCGGACGTGTGCATTTTTCCTTCGGCGAGGGCCATCGAGGAGCATCCCTGATCATTTGGCGAAAAAGCCACGCACGAAACCAAAAAAAAACAGGGAATGGACGTCCGAGCGATGCCCAGTAGGGGCCTCTGGACAATTCATACATGAAGCGGGCTGGGGGGCGGTCATGGGGGGTATTGTGGGGGGTGGATGGAGTAGTGCGAGAAGACGTTCCCATCTTAATATGTCTGATTCAGCTCGGGCACGCAAGTATTTATGTAGATGACTCGGGTGCTGGTGCGGTAGACCTCTATGTATGATCTTTATTCGATTGTACGGTATGTATATCCGGTGGGCAGGCAGCTACTTCCACCAGCGGGTAATCGAGTAGTTTGGCAGGGAGTCACCTTCGCAGATATCCAGTCCGTCTCACAGCGTGGCAGCGGGGTAACCAGAGAGCAACATCGGTTTACCTACAAGACCACCCTTCTGTGAAGAGGAGTTGGGGGGGGGATAGGTGCAATTCTCGGTCTGCGATTTGATGTGCGTTGGGCTGCCAATCTACACGCCTGGAACCCCTACACTATTTCTACGGTCTGATAGCTTTCCAGCTCTGTCGACGCTTATACAGCGTCTGATCCTTCTCGCCTTCCTATGTTTGATCGCTTCTCGAATTCATCTGCCCGATCTCACTCGTCGAAATCCTCTGCCCCCTTCACGTCTGCCCCCCGCCTCTCCTTCTGCTCCCCCTTCCTGTGTCCTCCCTTCCCCCCCGCGCGACAGAGACGAACCGAGGACGTGGAGGACTGCGACTCGGCGGCGAGCCCGGGGGGAAGTGAGAACGAGGGTGCCTTCTCAGAAGGCTCGGAAGCCCCTCAGCCTTCCGAGAAGTTTTTTAAGCTTTCCCCGAATACACAAACGCTCATGAGCAGGCGCGAGGGCTTCTGAGAAGTCCCGCCGCCTTCTGAAAGAGCCTTCTCCTTCTCACTTCCCCCCCTCGCTCGCCGCCGAACGACGATGGCGGTTGCGGCAGCGACCACGGCGACGGCGACGGCGGCGGCAACGGCGACGGCGACCCAGCATTCCTGGCCACTTCTCCAGGGACGCTTCCCCGTTCGGGCCAGCTTTGGTTTGCTGGCCTCGGGGCCCGCTCGACCCTTTCTCCTCCCCCTCCCCATCCTCCTCCTCCTCCTCCTCCTCCTCCTCCTCCTCCTCCTCCTCCGCCCCCTCCTCCTCCTCCTCCTCCTCCTCCTCCTCCTCCTCCTCCTCCTCCTCCTCCTCCTCCTCTTCCCACACCTCCGCCCCGCTCCTCCCACACCTCCGCTGTACGCTTTGATAGCTTGAGGGCCCGAGCGCGGCTCCCGGAGTTTTCCTCGTGCCCTCCCGTGCGTCCATCCTCTGGGTTTCTTCACGGCGTGGGCCCCGAGATGTCTGGACCCCTTCCTGGGGGCTCGCTCTCCTTCGTCGGCTTCGCATGGTCCTGCGGGCCCACCGAGGGCTCCTGGTGGCTGAAAATGACCAGACATTTTCGGTCGTGGCTTGTTCGCGACGCCACGATGTCTGGTTCGATCCTCGATCCGATCCTCTAGTCAGAAAGAAAATCATGGAGGCTTCCGCTCATCTTGGATTGAACGTATATTGGCGAATAGCGCGGAATAGCGCCCAGTAGTGCCAAGCAGCACCCAGTAGCGTACACTGGCACCGAATAGCACTCAACCAGCTCCCAGTAGCGACCAGTTGCGCCATGTGAGGGTGCTGTTGGGGGTACAAGTGGACGCCATGGGGACGACCAACAGCTTCCGCGAGTTGCTTCTCTAGCTCGTCGAGCAGTGCATCGGCTGCAGACTTGATGCACCCCAGAATCTATATTTTTCTTCGAGCCCACGAGAAGTTCCTCGTATAATATGTTCCATCGATCTACGGAGCGTCCAATGGGTTTCGTCGCGCAGATTCGACGGAACACCAGTTTAGGCAAGGGCATAAGAGACGCCCCTGCCCTGGTTTACGGGGCGCTGTGCGCTGAAGCTCCCGTGGGCTGCCGGGGTAAGCCCTGCGTGCTGTGCGGCGCCCTGGCGCCTCTCCAGGCTGGAGGCTTACAGACCACGCACTTGCAACCCAGGGTAGGGTCGTTTTTTCCTCCCTCAGTTTAGGGGCAACCCAGAACTCAATTACGGGTAACCCAACTTAGGGGTAATCCAGGGTAGGGCCGTTTTTTCATCCCTCAATTTAGGGGTAACCCAGAACTCTGCGGCCGGTCCCCCGCCAGTGCTCCGGCGAGAGGCCTGGCGCTGCCACCGCGCCGCGGCCTCGACGTGCGGCGGCACCTCCGCGAGAGGGCGCGGCAGGCGCCGCGGGGGCCGCCTCCATCCGCCGCCGGGCGCCGCCCCCCGCCCTCGGCAAGCACGCCTCGGGGCGGCCATCCTCGGCGGAGGAGGAGGAGGAGGAGGAGGAGGAGGAGGAGGAGGAGGAGGAGGAGGAGGAGGAGGAGGAGGAGGAGGAGGAGGGGGGAGGAGGGGGGAGGGGAGGAGGAGGAGGAGGAGGAGGAGGAGAGGAGGAGGGGGAGGAGGAGGGGGGAGGAGGAGGTTGAGGAGGAGGAGGAGGAAGAGGAGGAGGCGGAGGAGGAGGAGGAGGAGGAGGCCTCTGGCTCGGGCTCGAGCAGGGGGTCGCCTGCAGAATCGACGTGACCTGGAGCGGATCCCGCGGAGGGCAGGGGGAGGCGGCGCACCCCGCGCGTCTTGGGATGCTCTAGGGCCGTCTTGACAACTGTCTTGGACGTCTTGGAGGCCCCTCGGGCCGTCGTTGGGCCCTCTTGGGGCCGTCTTGGGGGCCCTCCTCCTCCTCCTCCTCCTCCTCCTCCTCCTCCTCCTCCTCCTCCTCCTCCTCCTCTTGGGCCGTTCTGTGGCCATCTTGGATGCCTCTTGGGCGATCTTTGGGGGCTCTCGGGCCGTCTCGGGCCGTCTCGGGCCGTCGGAAGGCCAAAAGAAGCAACTGCCCAAATCCTTCAAACTAGGAGATCCATGATTTGGGTCTCTTCGGGCCTCCCTGGGGGCTCTCTTGGAGGCCTCTTAGGCTATCTTAGAGCCACCTTGGGCCGTCTTGGTGGGCTCCTGGCCCGTCTGAAGTTGTCGGAAGCCGTCTTGGGGGCCTCTCTGGGCCGACTTAGTTCCTTCTTCGGGTGCTCCAGGGCAGTCTTGGAGGCTTCCTTGGGCGTCTCAGAGGCCTCTTGGGCCGTCTTTGGGCCCTCTTGGTATCGTCTGGGGGGCCTCTTGGGCAGTCCTGAGGCCATCTTGGAGGCCTCTTGGGCGCTCCGGGAGCGATCTTGGGGGCCTCTTGGACCGTCTTGGGTCGTCGGGAGGCCGAAAAAGAGCAAATACGAAATTCGCTGAAAACCCCTCAGGAACATCAATGATTTTAGCATCTTCGGGCTCTCCTGGAGGACCTCTCGGAGGCCTCTTGGGCCGTCTTGGAGGCCTCTTGGACACCTCTTGGGCAGTCTTGGGCCGTCTTGGAGGCTTCTTGGGCGTATCCGGAAGTATCTTGGACCCTCTCAGGCCGTCTTGGAGGCCATCTTGGCCGTCTTGGAGGCATCTTGAAGGCCAGCTTGGGCCATCTTTGAGCCGTCTGGAGGCGAAAAACCCGGTGCAGCCACCTCTTGCGCACTTTTCCAGGTGGCAGGCGGGACGGGCCGAAGCCCCAGGGAGTTTTTCTAAAAGAACCCGAACCGAAAGGATCCAGCACGCCGGGCACCCCTGTGGCAAGCACAGGGGGCGGCGGATAACGGAAAGAGCGAGGTACGAAGTGATGACGTTCTGGTAGGGCGAAGCCCTCCAGGGAGGGGTCCAGGGGAGGGGCGAGGGGGGATGACGGGAAGCGCGCTTCGTCGCGATCCGTTCGTCGGGATAAATAACAAGGGGGAGGGTGGGGGTGTGGCGGGGGGGGGGCCCAGATGACGGAAACCGCGCTGCGTCGCGATCCGTTCGTCGGGAGGAGCAACATTGGGGGGTGTGGGGGGATAGGCAGGGGGGGCCCAGAGCCTAAGGACCCCATCTGGGGCCCCCAAATAACGATCTCGCTAGGGGCATCCTCAAAAAAGTGCACTCTGGTCGACATCGTCTTGGGGTCGGCCTCGGGAGGCCTCAAGACGGCCCAGCGTAGCCCCCCGAAGCGGCCCCAAAAAGGCCCTAAGACGGCCCAAGATGGCCTCGAAACTGTCCAAGGCGATCGAGTCTGCCGCCCGCTCTCTCTGCCGTACCGACGTCTTATCACCAAGCGGGTTCGGAAACACTAAGCCAGCGGCACGATCACTCACCATCATCGGCATCGAACGATCATCATCATCATCATCATCATCATCATCATCATCATCATCATCATCATCATCATCATCATCACTACTCGCTGACTCACCACTTCGTCCCCATCATCATCACCACCATTTACCATCAGAATCGCACGATCACTCACCATCAGCACTCATCATCACCACCATCATCATCATCACGTCGTCATCATCACCACCACCACCATCATCATCATCATCATCATCATCATCATCATCATCATCATCATCATCATCATCATCATCATCATCATCATCATCATCATCATCATCATCATCATCATCATCATCATCATCATCATCATCATCATCATCATCATCATCATCATCATCATCATCATCATCATCATCATCATCATCATCATCATCAATCATCATCATCATCAAACACCGTCGTCATCATCCCATCACCATCATCCACCAAGAGGGAGCCTCGTCTGTGAGTGAATTGTGAGGAAGTCTCAGGCGGGAGCCCCCTCCCTATGGGGCCCGCAGATCATGTTACTAATCCGAGCGGGTCATCGGATTCCTGTAACTGTCGTCACTTTTGGGCTCCTCAGGTCTGAATTTGGAGGAAGTATCAAGCGGGAGCCTCGTCTGTGAGTGAATTGCGAGGAAGTCTCAGGCGGGAGCCCCCTCCCTATGGGGCCCGCAGATCATGTTACTAATCCGAGCGGGTCATCGGATTCCTGTAACTGTCGTCACTTTTGGGCTCCTCAGGTCTGAATTTGGAGGAAGTATCAGGCGGGAGCCTCGTCTGTCAGTGAATTGCGAGCAAGTCTCAGGCGGGAGCCCCCTCCCTATGGGGCCCGCAGATCATGTTATAATCCGAGCGGGTCATCGGATTCCTGTAACTGTCGTCACTTTTGGGCTCCTCAGGTCTGAATTTGGAAGAAGTATCAAGCGGGACCCTCGTCTGTGAGTGAATTGTGAGGACGCGTCAGGCGGGAGCCCCCTCCCTATGGGGCCCGCAGATCATGTTATTAATCCGAGCGGGTCATCGGATTCCTGTAACTGTCGTCACTTTTGGGCTCTTCAGGTTGAATTTGGAGGAAGTATCAAGCGGGAGCCTCGTCTGTGAGTGAATTGTGAGGAAGTCTCAGGCGGGAGCCCCCTCCCTATAGGGCCCGCAGATCATGTTACTAATCTGAACGGGTCATCGGATTTGTAACTGTCGTCACCTTTGGGTTCCTCAGGTTTGAATTTGGAGGAAGTATCAAGCGGGAGCCTCGTCTGTGAGTGAATTGTGAGGAAGTCTCAGGCGGGAGCCCCTTCCCTATGGGGCCCGCAGATCATGTTATTAATCCGAGCGGGTCATCGGATTCCTGTAACTGTCGTCACTTTTAGGCTCCTCAGGTCTGAATTTGGAGGAAGTATCAAGCGGGAGCCTTCGTCTGTGAGTGAATTGTGAGGAAGTCTCAAGCGGGAACCCCCTCCCTATGGGGCCCGCAGATCATGTTACTAATCCAAGCGGGTCATCGGATTCTTGTAACTGTCGTCACTTTTGGGCTCCCCAGGTTTGAATTTGGAGGACGTATCAGGCGGGAGCCTCGTTTGTCAGTGAATTGCGAGCAAGTCTCAGGCGGGAGCCCCCTCCCTATGGGGCCCGCAGATCATGTTATCAATCCGAGCGTGTCATTGGATTTCTATAACTGTCGTCACTTTTGGGCTCCTCAGGTTTGAATTTGGAAGAAGTATCAAGCGGGACCCTCGTCTGTGAGTGAATTGTGAGGACGCGTCGGGCGGGAGCCTTCCTATGGGTCCCGCAGCTCACGTGGTTCCTCCGGGTCATCCTCCGGCGCGCGCTTCCTCTGGGTCGTCCTCCGGCGCGTATCGGCTGGGACGCACGTCGTGCGCTTCCTCTAGGTCGTGTTCCGCACGAGGACGAGGAGGAGGAGGATTGCCAGGAAAAGGAGGAGGGATGATGCAGGACGAGACAGGAAAGCAGGAAGAGGAAGAGGCTGAGGGGAGGAAGGACGAGGAGGAAAAGGAGGAGGAGGAATGCCCGAGGAGGCCCCAGTAGGTCCCGGAAGGCCCAGAAGGCTCCAGGAGGCCCCAAGAGGCCCCAGGAGGCCCCAGGAGGGGGCAGGAGGCTTAAGGAGGAGGCAGGAGGAGGAGGAGGAGGAGGAGGAGGAGGAGGAGGAGGAGGAGGAGGAGGAGGAGGAGGAGGAGGAGGAGGAGGAGGAGGAGGGGGGGGGGAGGGGGGAGGAGGAGAGGAGGAGGAGGGGGGGGGGGGGAGGAGGGGGGAGGAATATGGAAACGAGGAGGAGGAGGAGGAGGAGGAGGAGGAGGAGGAGGAGGAGGAGGAGGAGAAGCGGATGAGGGAGAGGGAGAGGAGGAGGACAGGGGATGAGGAGGAGGAGGAGGAGGAGGAGGAGGAGGAGGAGGAGGAGGAGGAGGAGGAGGAGAAGGGAGAGGGAGAGCAGGAGGAGGAGGCAGGAGGCAGGAGGGGCAGGGGGAATGGGGGGGAGGAAGCATAACGAGGGGGAGGGGGAGGAGGTGGAGGAGGCAAGAAGAGGAGGAAGAGGCAGGGGTTGAGGCAGGAGGAGGAGCAGACAGGAGGAGAACGAGGAGGCAAGAGTAGGTGGGAGAAGGGAAGGGGCAGGAGGATACCCCCATGCAAGCTAAAGAGATTCTCATGTGGGGTCCTTCCGTCGGAGTAATTGTAATGCGTCGTCGTCGGTGGCGGCGGCGGCGGCGTCGGCGTCGGCGTCGGCGTCGGCGCCGTGGTCGTCGTCGGTCGCCGCCGCCAGCTGCCGCCGCCGTCCCCTGTTGGTTCGTTGTTGTTTTGAGTCTCCAGGGGCCGCTCCCCGTCCACGGGACAGGGTGTAGGTCCAGCCCTGGGGGCAGCTGCCACGTCGGATCTACAGTCGGACCGAGTTATACGATCGAGGTGTGTTCGGGGAGACTATCCTGGTGTTTCTCGTGTCTGTTGGATGTTCTTGTGCATCCTGGGGGAGGGTACCCTTGGGTGTTCTGTTTGTTTTGGCCGGCGGAGGGCCTCAT